TAATATAATATAATATAATATAATATAATATTATATAATATAATATAATATAATACAATATAATATAATATAATATAATGTAATATAATATAATATAATATCATATAATATCATATAATATCATATAATATAATATAATATAATATAATATAATATAATATCATATCATATAATATCATATAACATAATATAATATCATATCATATCATATCATATAATATAATATAATATAATATAATATATTGTTAACACAATAACACAAATACTAGCATTAAAGGTCATTAAGAGGTCATTATTATTATTAATCCTCCTGTCAGCTGTAACAACATTATTATTACTCTTAGTATTATTATTGTCATTATTGTTGTTATAATTAATATATTATTATTGTTAATATTAATAATATTTTATTATTATTATTAACATCATCATCATCATCTTTATTATTATTATTATTATTATTATGGTAGTTTAATTAAGTGAATTAAGTTTAATTTATTTCCACCTGTAGAAACTGTTTTTGAGATGACTTTCAGAAATGATTAGACATATGAATATGAATGATTAGAAATATGATCGTGTTGTCTAACGTTAGCTTTATATATTAAGACAAACACTTCAGCTACATGAGCTAGCTCATAGTTAGCGCTGACTTTAGAAAATAAAAAATCAAATAAAATATAAGAAATAAATGACAGAATGAGATAAAATGTATTAGGAATAATGTGTTGTAACATTTATTAGATTAATTCCGATCAACTGACCCAACTGTTACTTAAACAACTGCTCCCTCAGCACAGACACAGTAAGCCAGGTGTAATCCCCCTCCTTCCTCCTGTGGCTCACTAACTGGATTAACAGAGTGACAGCGGCACAGAGGGACGCAATCAGCAGGGAACAAACGAGAAATCAACACCGAGGAGGAAGAGAGACGCAGAGGAAGTGGACCTTTGGAGGGGCCGGAGGCCATTTAAGAGGACGGGCTTTTATTTTAGTGTCTGTATGGATCTGAACGCAGCAGAGAGACAATTCGACAGTCAGGACTGGATTTGTGGATCTGTTGCTCACATAATCCGTCCATCCATTGCCTCCTCATCCATCCAGCCATCTCCGGCTCCTCGTGTCTCTGCTGATAGCTGATTATAAATGGGATATCTTCACTGTAACTTATATATATATATCTATATTTAACCTTTATTTAACGAGGGTGTCACATTGGGATACAATTTAAAACCATTTAAAGACTTAACCTGATTACAATCTAGTTGGTAGTGTGGTTATAATCTAGCTTTGTCTAGCTGTTGAGTTATCTTAGCTCTAATAAAGCCCAGGCTTAACTCAGTTTAGGTAAATTCGGACTAACATAAAGTTTGGTTGCAATCGAATTAGCTGTTAGCTCCACAAACACACTCGCTATGGATCCGGACAGAGAAGAAGCTGACGTGTTTTCGGACACAGAAGAGCCGAGCCCTCTGAGAGCAGATAACGTAGAGGACGAGGTGGAGGAGGAAGAGGAGGACGAGGAGGACGAGGAGGAAGATGCTAAGATCTTCAATGCCTGGATGCAGCGGTACAGAGGCGGGGAGCGGCAGGAGAAAATTGGAGAAGAAGAGGAGGAGGAGAAGGAGGAGAAGGAAGGAGAGTCAGCAGAACGGGGAAGAGCTGAAAGTAGGAGCAACATTGAGCCACTGGCCCGAATGAGGAGCGACCGCCGGGCGTCGCTGCCGTGTCCGGTAAGAGAACCACACAACTCAAAGCCGAGGTCGTAGGTCTTGGATATACAAACTTAATCCATTAAAGTTGGGTTCAAGAATCGTTGATTATCGGTATTATCCAGTTTCCGAGTCGTACCTATGACTTGGGTGTTGACATGAATTGTGTTTACGAGTTGTTACACCGACAGACAGACAGTTGAAGTCACAGTTCGACTGGAATTTGGATGATGGAGAGATTAATGATGGATGACGAATATGTTGGACTTAATTTGCTTCAGAAGGTGTACAGAGTCAACCCTTCAAAGTATGAGGCCATGTTCTGTGGATTGTTCCCCTGACATTGGGCATGATCTGCTGCCCCCACTATCTAGGGGCAAGGGTAAGATGGAGCATGAGATCAACAGGTGGATGGTGTGCTGTCTGCGACGACTGTACTGGAGCAGTGGTCAAGAGGGACCTGAGCCTGAAGGCAAAGCTCTTAATTAACCATTCAATCTATTTAAAAACCTTTAACAATGGCCACAAGCTTTAGATACGGTAGGTACCTAGGATAGGTTGAGGAACTCAGACATCCAGAAGGAGTTTGGACTACAACCACCGCTGTTCCTTCATCTTCAAAGAAGCCAGTTGAGGTAGTTCTGCGATCTGATCCATATTCTTTGTGGAAGCTTCCCTGTGGAGGTATTTCGGGTCCAACTGGAAGCAGAGCCCAAGCAGATCCAGAACACACTAAAGGGATGGACTTGGAACACCTCTGGTTCCCCCAGGAGGAGCTGGAGCGGCGTGGCCAAGGATGAAGACGTCTGGGCCTACCCTACTTAGTCTGCTGCCACTGCAACCGGGACCTGAATAAGCAGGGGAAGACACAGAGAAGAAGACTTAAACTAGAGATTGAGACCACAAACTCATGAGGAAACTGTTTACTAAAGTTCTCCATAGGACTCAATACTATCAGAGAATACAGGTTTAAGACACGTCAAAGACCCAGAAGCTCTGTCCACTAAATATACTGTCAATGGTTCACCCAAGTTTATTCAGTCAACTAGCTGTGTGTTCATAGCTCCTGATCAGTGAGAGCCTCTCAGCATCCATTTTTAGCTGCATTAGCAGCAAGTAAACTGCTCTAAGGAGGGCAGTTGGGCTTTGGGTGCTGATCAAGGCCACTAATGAGGCTTTTAGACTTGTAGTCTTGTTTATTTTTGCCAGTGTTCACAGGATTTTTGGATCAGTGAGTCATTCTGTGTCAAACTTTCTACTGATTAGTTATAATCAGGACTACAGGACTAAGAATACAGGCAACAAATAAAACAGAGAAATTATCAAATTAAAGTTATTAACTGAAAGTTCTGGAGCTGGACTTGGAGATGGAGGTGGTGACCAGTCAAACCAGTTAACCATCCCTCTCTCTCTCCGCCCAGGATACTCTGTCGGCCATGCAGCTGTCTCGTCTGCACTCGTCCACCAATGCTCCGGTGACGGCGAAGGTTCTGCTGCGCCGTTCTTCCTCCCGCCGCCTCCTGCAATCACAGCAGGAAGCAGCTGCCCCCACCCTGGAGCGAAGACCCTCCCTCATACCCACAATCCCAGAGGCCATCGCGCCCGAGAAACGGGCCACGTTTAGGAGACGCAACGTCATGTCACTGGTGGGTAAAAACACTGAAACATTTAATTCATACATGTTCCTGGGAAGAACTAATTCGGTGCTTTTTAATAGAAAAACGATTCACATCCAGTTAATTAATTACAATGAACTATTGAACATTTTAATTGTTTCTTTTACTTTTCTCTGCACATAATTAATCCTTTATGAACCTTACACAACTAATCAAACACAAATAATTGTCCATACTTTAATTTACAGTCCTTGTAAAATAAAGCCTGTAACTACTGCTGTAGGTTGATTTAAAGCTCCAGAGTGTCACACTGAGGAGGATCTATTGTCAGAAATGGAATATCATTTTCATTAGTATATTTTCATTAGTGAATCGTGGTATTTCTGTTCCCTTAGAATGAGTATTAGTACTCCTTTAATCTATACCAATACATTCCCATCATATGTTTTGGATTAAAAATCTTTTAATTATGGATTAATAAACCAATAATCAGAGAGAAATGCCCGACCAGCAGTCAGTCTGTTATTTTACTGCAGTTTTTCCCTCATTGAAGTAAAGTTTGGACAGGAAAGACGACAGTGTGTTTGTGTTGCAGAGCGACGCAGACAGTGTGTGTCTGATCTGTCACAACGACCTGAACCGAGGAACCGGTGGCACCAGAGAGCTGCAGTGCACACACACCTTCCACAAAGAGGTAACACACACACACACACACACACCTGTGTTCACACAAATGTGAAATATCATAAATCTAATACTAATAAATACAGTTAAATACTAGTTTTATAAGTTGTGTAATTTTAATGTATTAGTTAGTTAACTGACAGATATCTTTTATAATTATATGTAAGCCTGATTATTTGTATTATAGCAGAGTTCACCTGTATTTATAGATCATTGTTTTACACTGTAAATATCTTTAATTAAACATTAAAAATGCAGTATTGAAGCTAAAAACTGTATTTTTATGAGTCAGCTGCCAGAATATTACTGTCTGATTTACAGTGTAGATGAAAGTAAAATGAAAGGCTTTTAGGAGGACAGGTACGTGTTTATTTCACAATGTTTATAGCTCAGATACATGTAGATTCAGAGCCTGTGTGTGTGTCTGCAGTGTATAGAGGAGTGGTTGTGGAGGAAACAGTCCTGCCCCACCTGCCATGTTCAGGTGTCCATACCGCAGCCCGTCTACTGGAACTCCACCAGGGTCAAGGTCCCCTAAAACCACCAGGGAGACAGCGTTACATCATCAACCTAAAGTGGACTGTGACGTCACCGAAGCTCCTTTAAACGTCCACCAGTTCCCCAAAACATTGAGCAGGGAACTATGACATCATCAAATGCCACCAGAAAGAGGACAGTGACATCATCAACGGCCCCCAGGACTGTGACACTGTTGCATCATCAGAATACAGTGAGGTAGAAGACAATGACGTCACTGGGAGTAAATGAAAGGTAGAATGAATTAATGCTCTGTCTGGATTTGTAAGGAGAATAATTGGACTTTATTCACTTTATAGCAGTCGAATGGATGTAGATTTCTACGTAAGTGACCATTGAGGAGCTACAGTACAACCACAGTAGCCTCACTGTGTGTGTGAGTGTGTGCACAGCAGTATTTTAGTCAACTGTTTTTACAAGAGTAGCAGCTGTTGTTGAGATGTTTGAATAAAGTTTGATTGTACGAGTTTCATCTTTCCTTCCTATGACCGCTGCATTGCATTTACTGCAGGTTGAGCTGATTTCAGCCCCTGAATAAACTGTTCTACAGCAATGCATCATATTCTTTAAGATCACCATATAATTGTACCATAAGGCAGCTTATCCCACAGCGTTTTTAATTAGTTTATTTAGTGTATTTTTTAGTAACTTAAGCTGTCAGACAAATGTAGTGGAGTAAAAAGTATAAAGATTAATATAATGGAAATAAAAAATGTTTGGTAATAATCTCAGTTACACACAGAGCTTGTTCTTTGAGTTAATTTCTGGTAAACGTCATTATTGTGGTTGTAAACATGTTTCCTGCTCGGGTTGATGTGGGGGAAACAGCGCCCCCTCTGCTCGCCTTGTGGCCAGAGGCGGTACTGCAGGCGGAAGTGCTGCACCTGTTGACTGTTCGGTGTCTAACGTCCAACACCTGTAACCGCGCTCACCTGGAAGCGTCTGGAAGATTCTGGAGGCTCCGAGAGGTTCGTCCACAGGTACACACACAACAGCGGGACTTTATGGACAAACTGAAGAAGGTGCTGAGCGGGCAGGATGACGGAAACTCGGGAAACTCGGACGGACCCGGAATACTGGAGGTAACGTCTGCTGTTAGCTGGTTAGCTCCTCACTGGGAGTAAAAGTACTAATACTCTATTACTGCAGTAAAACGTACTAATACCACTCTTGTAAATCATTAACGCTAATTACGCAGTAAAAAGTACCTATACTCTATTACTGCAGTAAAAAGTAACTAATACCACTCTGTACTAATACTCTATTACTGCAGTAAAAATACTAATACGTCTAATTACTGCAGTAAAAGTACTAATACCACTCTGTAATAATACTCTATTACTGCAGTAAAAGTACTAATACCACTCTGTAATAATACTCTACTGCAGTAATAGTACTAATACCACTCTGTAATATTACTCTACTGCAGTAGAATTACTGCATTGAAAATATAAATTATTACAATAATTTGAAGCAAAAGCAGCAAATTTGACAAATGTTAAAGGTTTTGTAAACAAAAGAGTCTGTATTGACAAGAACCTGCCAATACGATAAGTATCCCGATATTATACGATAAGTATCACGATATGATACATTAAGTATCACTATACAGAGATATATTGTTCTTGTTTTTTCTTAAATCAAATTTTTGGAAAACTGAGTTTTTTTAATTGTTTTTGCGAATCGATACAATATCACAAAACAAAATATTGCGATACGATATTTTATAATTTCTTTTCTCAGGAATTCATTGTCACGATATTAACTTGCTCATGTTGCTATTGGCAAGGTCCTTTAATTTCACATCAGAACTGAGTGGACGGTTTCACGATGAGCAGGTCACAGACGTTTCCTTTCCACTGGTGACGTATTCGACTTCTGTCTGTTTCTCCGTAGCTACGAGTTCAAGGTGAAGCCAAAGAACGAGCTGGGCGCAGGTCCTCCTAGTGAACCCGTGACCTTCAACACAGAGTCGGGTATGCTCCCACGAAAGCTATTCTCTTAAACCAACAGACTATCCAGTTGTCAAGTTTTCACTTGCGTTTTGAGTGTATTTTTAGTGTTTGTAGTGTATTTTCAGTGTACATTTTCGGTTTCTAATGTATATTTTGTGTTTTAAGTGTATTTTTTGTGTTTCTAGTGTATTTTTTGTGTTTTTAGTGTATTTTTCGCATTTTTGGTGTATGTTTTTGTGTTTTTAGTGTATTTCTCGCATTTTTAGTGTATTTATCCCGTTTTTAGTGAAATTCTCAATTCTCATTTTTAGTGCATGTTTTTGTGTGTTTTTTTTAAGTGAATGTTTTTGTGTGCTACTTCATACTTTGGTGTTACTGTCAGGAACAACCACATTGTTAGAGCTGTATTGATTGATCTTTATTTCCCTCCATTAGCGGACCCACGGGTGAGCGAAAACGTCTCAGGTAAGGTTAAAGAACGCTGCACTGTCATCTGTCATTATGTCCGTCAGCAACGCGTAGTCAAACCTTCCCGTCTCTGCAGGAAAAGACGCCATCTGGACTCAGTTTCCCTTTAAGACGGACTCGTACTCCGACTGCCATGGCAAACAGTACGTGAAGAGGACCTGGTACCGAAAGTTTGTGGGCGTCCAGCTGTGCAACTCGCTCAGGTACAAGATTTACCTGAGCGACTCGCTCAACGGTGAGTTCAGTTCACTCATTTTCTCCTTCTTTCTAGTTTTGGAGTTTATTTCAGCTCGGTGCTAATCCGCCTCTGTTCGTTTCAGGTAAATTCCACAACATTGGAGATCAGACTGGCTTCGGTGAGGATCACTGTCAGTTTGTGGATTCGTTCCTGGATGGAAGAACCGGCAGACAGCTCAGAGCCGACCAGCTACCGTCCAGACCCGGTAAACACTTCATATCTCAGCTCAGAGTATTTTACAAAATGTTGCTTGCTACCCTCATTTCCACATACCGATTAGGCCTAGCACCGTAGCATATCTAAGTATGCAGGAAAGGAGCCGAGAGCTTGATCTGAGGCTTGGGCCAAAAGCGCGAGGGCGCAGGGGGCTACATTAACCCTGTGCAGCTGTTCAACCTCTAACTGACGTAAAAAACGAGAGACAGTATTTTTCACATTGCGTGTTGTTGTTTTTTCGCTCCAGGTTTCTATAGAGCAATGCGTCAGGAACCCGTCCATTTTGGACAGATTGGAGGACACTCCCACGTCAACTACGTCTCATGGTATGAGTGTGGGACGCCCATCCCCGGCAAGTGGTGAACACACTGAGTCGTCCTCGGAGACGCCCAGCAGAAAGAGACAGTCGCCCAGGCTGGGATGGCGACAACAGCGGGGGTCCTCACGAATCTGCCGGACCTCTGAACTGCCTCACTTTACCCACCCAGTGCTGTAAAAACATGTACAGGACATAATCGTCAGGGAATTAGTAACGAGAGAGCATTTAAAGACACATATGTAATAGCAAACATGCCTCATCTTTACTATTTATCAAGCAACAAGGCTTCGATACGTGGAGGTTTCTCTGCAGCGTGAGGGGGGTGGCAAACTCACGCTAGATATATTTTATTTTGTGTTAAAATAATGGGAAGCTGGCTCCCTGGAATACTATTTTCATAACTTGTGAGATGTTATTTATCAAAAAGGTCTTTGATTACATTTCTTCACGTTGATCCAACAGAAGTCTTTTATGCCGGTTCTGCTGTTTGAGCTCATTCCTGTTGATCTGCATTAAAAGAGACTAAACGCCTGCTTGATACCGGTGTACGCATCCATTAAAACCCATCTGCTAGTCTCTAACTAACTAGTTAGCTACTGTTTTGCTAACATCACCTAACTTAAGATGTGACATATGTATATATATCTTTTATTTTTTAACCATCCTCAAAATGTGGTTGTCTTTTCAACATAGATTAGCCTAACATAGCAAATCTAAGTACAGGGAAGGAGGCATCTAATTGGTTCAAAGATAAAAGTGACATATATACATAGTCAAAATTTAAGTGAGCTTGCTAATGTTAGCCAAACTAGCTAGCTAGCTACATCAATCATTAGGTAGCTAGTTAGCTAGTGTTTTTTGTTACAGAGCAAAGCACAAGGTTAAAGTGGTTGAAAGTCTTTTACGACGGTTCTGCTGTTGGAGCTCATTCCTGTTGATCCGCATTAAAAGGTTTTAAAGGTACAACCGTAATGCGAGTCTTCTACTGGCTACGAAGCTAGAAAGGCTGCTCTGTGTGGAGAATATGTGCGATAAACTTGCTGGATATTCCGATATTTCTGCCTCATGTGTGTACGTGCTCCGAGTACTACGGCCATTTGCATTGAGAGCTGTTTTCATCAGGTAACAAGACTAACGTAAGCTTTAGCGTAATGATAAAAACACAATAAAGCTCTGATGTTCAGTGCTTGAAACATATTTTTGGGAAAATGGTCTAAAACTCAACGTCAAACATCCGATGTGCCGATGTTACCGAAGCGAGCTGCAGACAACCAGCCGGCCGGAGGCTTCTTCACTTGCAATTTGCACAACAGAAATGTATTTATATGTATATGGAGAGAATGTATGTTTTCAATACATTTTTGTCGATGCATTTCCCTCACAATGGCCCTTTTGTTCTTTTTACTGTACGATAATGCGCTCTTTTTCTTCTTGTGGCCTCATTCTAACGCAGGACGAGAAGCTAACGGTGTAGCCTGATAGCTAGCAATTAAAACTCTATGTACTGCATTTGAAAAGCTTCTTTATTTATTCTACCCACGAAAGCTAAAGAACTTGCTAACCAGCCTAACGCGAACCTTGACTGAAGCAGTGTTAGCTTGGTTTGCAGGGATAGCAATGGCTACATATTCGATTTTAACCACAATTAAAGTGCCCACCAACAAAAATGCTACATTCATGGTAGTTTACGCTACGTGCGGTATCTGCATTTCACCAGAAATATTGGACTTGTAGTAGAGAAAAGAACATTTAAAGTACAACTAAAGCACTGTTAGCTTAGCAGGGATATAGCAACTGCCTATTTTTTCCACTTGCTCTGAGGCATACATAAAATTAATTATGGGAAGAATTTTCTGAGCACCATATAAGGTGGAAAGTGACAAATGTTATGGTACGATAGTCCTGGATTACAAGCTAACATGCTAACTGTGCTTTATAGTTGCCTATAACAGCTTGTGCCTCCCGTTAATTTCCCGCCCTGCGTCAAACCCTCTCCATACGCTTTATTGTGGAGTATGCTAACGGTTAGCATTTCTCTAGCGCCCCACTGAATGCTGTTTCCCATACTGTGCCTTTCCCGACTGTATTCACGCGTAGACTTGTTATTATGAAACAGTGAGAATGTACCACGAGGTTGTGCTGTCGTTGTTTTTCTACATACGTTTGTTTCTATATTGATTTCCAACAATAAAGAAGTTTTTCGTTTTTTAAAAAGATGTCTTTGGTTTTTATTCTCCACATGAATTTATATATTTATATTATCACGATGGTTCAGTGTTAATAACAGTTTTTAGCTTTAATTTTACATAAAATGTTTTTGTCTTTTTAATGTTTAATTAAAGATATTCACACTGTAAAAACTATTAAATGACCTATAAATACAAGCGAACGCTGCAATAATACAAATTAAAAGTTAACAGATTTTTTATGTATTTTTTAAATACATGGAAATATCAATACAATTACAAAAACAGCCTGTAAATTTACACATCTAATGTAAAATAACATGAAAAGGCTAAAATACATTTGCAAAAATTTGCTTAAATTAATGTTTTATACTGATAAGTTTATAAAATATATAAAATTAGTGACATTAACAGTAAATAAAGTATTAGTTGTGTAATTTTAATGTATTAGTTAGTTAACTGACAGATATGTTGTATAATGATGGAAGTTGAATAAATGTTGTTTATCAGTGTATAAGCATTGGTAAACTGTCCAAATACAGTTTTAAAGACAAATTAAAAAGACAAAAAAAATACTTATTAAGATTTTATGTCAAATTGAAGTTGAAAACTATTTTAATTACAGAAAATTACTTTTTTTGTTGTTTTTCTACAATTTCACAAAGGTACAAGGTCAAAACAATCTTTAAAAAAAGCCTGATGAATCCTGGAGAGAGTGAGTGTGTTTCTGCCAACAGATCCTGTAAATGTTCCACACCGGAGCTTTAAAACTATAAACTGGAAGTGGCACAAGATCCAGAATCCATTAAATAATCTGTATTTGTTGGTTTTCGTTCAGCTTCGGTTCTTCATGCTCAAACAGAGAAGAATTTAAAAGACGGAAAACTGTGAATGTGGTTTGGTTGGAAGTTCAGATTCTTCTCTGACACACTGAGTCATTAAAGTGACGGAGATTTAATATTACCCACAACCCCCCAGTGTAACCAGTCCCACCACAGTTGAAACACCAGCGGCGACGTGACGGATTACATCACTTTTCCACACTGTATGTACCGTCGCCGTGGCAACCGGTGCACTACTTCAGGTCGGCTTCTGCCTCGAAGTGAAGGTTTATTCAGGAGAGGGAGAAAAAAGAAAATAAGAGCAGGAAATCTCGTCAGAATAAAACGCCAGCTCTCTGTAATTTTGCACGGTTATGTAACACGTGAACAGTTCCTCTGGGAACTAGAACGTCCCGTTAACGAGGACCCGGGCGGTGAGGTAATGAGGCCCCGTTTCTACTGATGGAGTTGTATTTTTGCATTCTGTCAGTCGGCCCACATCGGCGGCTGCAGGAAGCGGTTCAGAAAATTCAGACGTCCATGTTTCCTGGTTTCTATTAGGAAAAGCGAGAACGTGAGACGGTGAGATGACGGAGCTGTGAGAGGTTTCCTCCGGCTAAAGATGAAAGTGTGCTTCATTTAATATCCTCAAAAAGTTTTATTTAGTCCTTAACTTTTTACTCATTTATAGATTTGATGTATAAACAAGTTACACCTGAAAGCTGTTGTTAGTAACATCAATCGTTAGGGTTATCCATAGCTAGGTAACTAGCTAGCTAAACTACATCAGTCGTTAGTAAGCCAGTTACATCTTAAAGCTAATGTTAGCAAAACACTAGCTAGTTAAGGACTCGATGTACCAAAAGTAGCTAACTGCTAATTACCTTTACCATTAACTGTATCTGCTGTTAGCGGGCGACAGAACCGGGCTCAGCAGCTGGACCAACTGCTAACTGCCGTTAGCTCGGTCAGCCATGCAGCTAAGCTAACTGACTCAGCCCTGGGATGCCAGGAGCCAAACCTGGCAAGAAAACCACCTTGGTACTGGATTCCCTGCTGGTCTATGAGATTGTATTTGGTCTTGGGTCAGGCTGTGTTCAGTGGAAGGTAGACGCTAGGTCATAGCGCTAGCTGCATAGCAGTGGGGGCATAACACAACTAAATTAAAATGAATAAAAGCCTCCGATTAAGTTATAAGTTCTTTACCTCAGATTTAGTTTTGAATTAAAGTTTTCGTAAGGAGCATCTCTACAGAAACAGAAACTATTTTATTCTTGTTTCATCTTAAAATGTTCCAAAACCATCCAAACCTTTAATATTTTTTCTGGGCTGATTTACACTGAATCTACTTCGGTCCAAATTGTGCACCGCAAAGTTTTCTTGTCCATCCATATTTGTTCGTTTTTAGTGGGTTGCTTAAAACTAAAAATGAGAGAGAAAAATACATAAAATGACTCGTGAAACTGCAGTCGATGGCGGGTCCAAGTCTCCTAAACTTCTGGGATTTAGAAAACAGGTTTTCTCCCAACATGAGATGAAAAATCGTCTTTTGAGCAGTTAAACACAGGAAATGATGTCACGCTGATCTGTTGGACTCGGATATATAAAACACACATGGTGCTGCAGAGTTCATGTTAGCGAGCGGAGGGAAACTGCTGTGAGTTATGTAATCCTGCAAAACACGAACAGACGGACTGAAGGTCAAATCTTTCTGTTTCGCCTCCTCAACTAGAGGAAAACCCCCCAAAGCTCTTTATGAACATTAAAAAGACTGAAACTCAGCGGAGACACCGACTCTTTCTGATGTCTAAAAATATCCTTTTTGGCTCTAAACTAAAGCACTAAAGTAAAATTAATTCATGACGATAGAACCGTTTATATCCGCCTGCCTTGTTTGATTTGTGGGTCCGAGACAAACAGGAGCTTTAATTTCAGAGTTTTATTGCGATGAAACCTGAACTGCGAGGGCGGGTGAAAATAACGGGAGTCATAATCAGCTGCGAGCCTCGGAGTGGAAGGGTCGTTTCACAAATGTAACAGGAGATTTTAGAAATCATTATTACATTTAATTTAATATTAAGATTTCTCTGTTTCTTGCATTACGCAGCAAAACCTCGAATCCAAGAACCTCCAGCAGACTTTCCATGCCCCCCTGAGTCTAACCAGAATCCCATAACCAGCCTCCAGCAGACTACCAGGGGTTGAAAACCTTTCTCTGGATTCTGAGATAATAACTTGTTAATTAGCAAAAGATTTTCTAACCTTGTATCTTAGTTCTACGGTGAAGAAAAAGAAAACATCTGACAATAAATAAATCGATTTAATTGTTTGAGCTGTAAAACATCACAAAACCTTTGAACCTCATATAGTTATATATATATATATTATATATAAAATTGCTCATTTTATTAGCAAATTGTTGCCTGTTAATGATCAACTGATAAAGCTCTGGTTAAAATTAAGATAATAAATCATCATTTTGACTGTGATGAAACGTCCTGTCCTGCACCTGTCCACGGACCAACCTAACGTCTGGCGTCCTCTGTGCATCATCCATCTGTTCAACATTGTTTTTCCAGCATCTAAACGTCCCGTTTCTCTCGGCGCTCCCCCTCCACGCAGGAAGTACTGGGTTCGCGGAGGTTCAGTTGTTAATTGTTTTCGCAGTGCGTTCGAGCGGCAGCAGCAGCTCGGCCCTGAACGTCTCTCTGCTTTTGGAGGTTGTGATGAACGTTTGCACAGACGTTTGTCATTGTTACAGGAATGTTATCTGTCGTTCAACTTTAAAAGTTTCTGTTTGTACTGAAAGTTTCATTCTGAGACAACCAACAGTTGGGACTGGTTGGTGTTTACTAGGCCTGAGACTGGTCCTCCTGGTCCCCTCCAGAGTTCCTGATCTGGACTCTAAATGTTTTCCTCTTTTATTCCCTCGTTTGTCTCTTTGTTCCTCCCTCAAGTTCCTCTGACAGATGAGTTACGATGTGGAGGAACTCCCCCC